GCTGTCATAAAACATCTCTGTAATTGCTGGATGTCATGTCATCCTACTCAATCATGTCAAAAAGGTCACTAGCTTCTGCACCTGAGATTAAAAAAAAATAAAATATTGGTACAAACCAAAGATTTATATACTCCTTTAACTAAACAGACCCTTTTAACTACTTGCCAGATCCTTCCTAGGTCCGCTTTGAGGAATGAATTGCAGCTGGAGATTTGCCCACCATGGCAGCATCAATAGAAGGAAATTCCTGTATGCCTGAGAGTGTTCCTGGCACTGGCACACAGTCATCCATGCTGCCACATGGCTTGAGTTCAGCCTGTTCCACACAGCAGACAGTATTCTCCCAAACTGTTCCCAGCACAGTTTTGGTCGGAAAAACAATGCCATTATTATTGCTGCTGAGTGGCCTGAAGGTACTAGCGTATTTTGGAGACTGAGATCAACAGCATAAACATGAGTTGCCCTGAGCCAGTTGGCCTCAGCACCCAGTTTCCTAGGCATGCTTCAGTGATGTGTGTAGGTGCAGTCTGATGGACAGACTGCTCACTTATCCAGTGGTCACAGAATCCAAATCCCAATTTTGCTACTTCTGAGTAGGTTTGACTGTTCTAATAGCTGTGATATTATAACTTCATTACATACAGTAATTCTGCAGAAAGAAAGTAATTTTTCTGGTTGTATTGTGGTTGTACTGCTAGCAATTAAAGTTATCCCCTGTTGATTACTGCTTGACTTTAACTTAGGCCAGTGTGCTTTCTGCTTTCACCACCACTATGGATAAGCTTCATTTATCTTTATCTCACTAAATCACATAATTGACTGGCTTTGTAGTGCAGTGAAAATGAGGTAACTCCCCAGGAGTGTTTTCTGTTTGTTTGGTTGGTTGGCTTGTGGTTTTTTTTGGTGACCATTTTTCATTTATAGGTCCTGTTGTCACCTAGGGGCTATACTAATTAATACTGACAAGATCACCAGATGGTCCTCTGCTAAGTAAAGCAGTGCTTTTCTTCAGAATATCCTGGTCAGCAGTAACATACCAAACATATTGAATGCTTTGAGCGTTGAGTGTTTTGGTGGTTGATTTTTTTTTTCTTTCTTTTTTTCCTCTTATATCTTTTGTTCCCTTCAATGTTCATAATTTTAGGTGTAGTTCTACCATACAGTGTACTGTCATTAGACCTCAGTGGAAAATTAGGCTCACCTTGTGCAGTGCAGTGACATGAGAAGGTTATAACTTGTGTCCCCTGAAGCACTTTAGTGTTAGCTTTTCACTCTGCTATAATTAATTTGTTTTGCTTTTTCAGTACCGATGAACTTATACTGCTGCTAATTCCAGAACTACCCCCATGAACCTTGGCTCGGGTGTTTCTGCTTCACAGTGCAGCTGTGAACAAACTTACTGTGATCTACTACAAAACTCTCTGTAAAGACCCCTTTCAGAACCACTAAACTGCCTTGATTTTGACTGGAATATACTCCTATTCTCAAAAACTTCAGGTTTCAATAAAGAAACTTGCATTTTAAATTTAAAGCTACTGCACAGATATTAATAACAAGGTGATATACTATGCATAAAAGTAATTTTAAATATATTTAAAAAATAAAATTTAAATATATTTATTTTTAATTGCATCTCACTCTCCCATACTTCTCTTGATTTTTCCCCAATCTAAAGAAATACTTAAACCTTCAATACTCAATTCATTTCAATAGTCATGTATAGTACGGAATGAGATACAAAATTACTGTTTCACTGGTAAAATATATTTTCTTTGGAAACAACTATAAGCAAATACAGAAGGAGCTTTAGAGTGTTAGAATTAAATAAATGATTATGTAATATATTCTTCAAAGAAGGGTCTAATGTAGTTACAGCTGGAGAACTCTATGCATATAAAAATGTTTTATACCAGTTTAAAAAGAAAAGAAAGATTTCAATAAAAAGTCACGTTTCAGAAATGGAAAACTGCAGTGAATTAAATACCTGGATGGGTATCCAATATTTGCTCCTAGAGGGATTTCTTCTTACTAAGGCTCTGACTCCCTATCAAATGGAACTGTATAGCTTTCCAGTAATTTGGACAGGGGTTAGCATGATAAAATGATCTGTTATGCCAATAAATTTTTTGTTACATTATAAAATGGTTTGTTATGCTACTTCTGCAACATAAAAATGTTATGAAAATTAAGTGGGTTGTAAGGTTCAAAAAGGGATGTTCTACTTTTGAGACTAGATACAACGAGAAGAAAAATAATGAGGGCTACATAACCAGCCTTCTAGCAACTCTTCAGTACTGTAAAAGGACATTTTAACTAACAACTGAAATTAGTATCCCAATTAGGAAAACAGTTATGCATCTGAAATGAATGGGAACCTTCTTGGGTCAACAGAAAATGAGAGGAAAATGAAGCAAGCCTGATAATCTAGGAGGTGACTTCTGTCCTGTGTGACAGTAAATTAAACAAGGCTAAACTACAACTCAGAATGGAAATTGAAGTACAGACTCCTATGCTAATCACAGTGTCTCACAGATGGGATAAGCGAGATAATAAGACAGGAGGAAAACCCTACTTTGCATATTTTGACATTGTGTGTATCAGACAAAAGCAATATCTGAATCTGGCAACTTTAATTCCCAGTCAAGTCTTATAAGTCCCTGTCTCATTTTGAAATTGCAATGTATTGTATACAGAATTCGTTTATGATTGTTCCAGGCAATCATTCACCACACAAGAAATGGACATCTTATGCTTTATGTAATGCTGCACAAATTATTACATCATTTTTGTATTTTTCCATATTAGCATTTCATTATGGCTCAATTTTTTGAGCATGGTGCCCCTAAGATTTCATTCTTGAACGTCCAGCCTGCCTGGACTCTGTTGCCTTTCAGAATCACCTCTCAAAGGATTCTGTGATCCTGCTCTCCACAATTTCAGTCTTAAGGAAAGTCTTAAGGAAACGGGGTCTCACGAGCTCTCAGACTCTTCCACTAAGCATGCAGTTCCTTGGGTCTATCAGCACACAGACCGTGAGCTCCAAACAGCAAGAAACCCTGCTCTGCACCACCTCCTGCACGGGGTGACGACAGGAACAGCATCTCCACACCACTCCCCCTGCTCTCTAAATAGGCTGAAGCCTGCCCCCTGGAAATCCAAGGTAGCAGTTCTGCTAACTGCCATCCTTTCTTCAGTTAAAATAAAAAAAAAATAATAATTTAAAAAAAACCAACAAAAACAACCCATCATTTCATGATTGCTCTGCCAAGACAGCCTCCAGCTATTACATCACCCATAAGAGCTTCTCTGTTTGCAGACAATAGGACAAGCGGGGCATCTTCCCTAATGGGTTGTCTCACCATCTGTCTCAGGAAGTTATCTTCCACACGCTGCAGCAATCTCCAACACAGTTTACTCTTTGCTGTAGTGTATTTCCAGCAGACTTCAGGAAAGTTGAAGGTACCAATGAGACAATGGGCTAGTGACCATGAGACTTCCGGTTGCTTATAGAACATTTCATTTGCTGGTTCATCCTGATTAGGTGTTCTATAGCAGATTCCCATAATAATATCCACCTTCTTGCCCTTCCCCTGACTCAAAGCTTTTATCACTATTACCCAGATCCATGCAGCCAAAGCATTCCTTACCATACAGGGCTAGCTGATCACCTCTACTTCTCTGTCTCTCTCTACTGAAGAGCCTGTAATCATCTATCACAACACTCAGACATGTGAGTTGTCCCATCATTTCATTTAAATGAATTAATGATTTATTCCATTCAAAATATGTCATTACATTGAAAAATGAATCTGAGAAAAATTTCAAACTAACAAAATAAATCTGCCCTAACAGACTCTCTTACTTTACTAGTGGCAGTATTTGCAGTCAGTTAGTACAACAGCTTGAAGTACTGAATAGACTAGGAATACTAGGAATATCTGACCTTTCTTGTTGATCATATAATGGAGCTTGTCTCACCAGCAGGCACGAACAGGAAACCATAATCTTTCCTATGCTATTCAACAAGAACTGGTGGTCATGGTTAGGAGCACAAACCACAAGCATTTGTTCTCAGAATATGCTGCAGATATCTGAGGTGTATCAGACCTATATGCACTCACTTCTGATGGACCATTTCCTTTGTACCACTCCTAACTGTGTAGAGGATGAAACAGATACCACTTCTAGGAGGTCACACAAAGTTTGTGCCAAGCTTTTGAGCTTAAGCAAAACCAGGAATTTGAGGAAATGCTGTGGCTAAAACTGGTCTTCTGCTCTCAAAGTAACTCATCCAGACCCAGTGCTTCCTGGCATTGCCCACAGCCCTCAGATACCTAGTGACTCGTGGCACAGCTCAACAGCTGTGTGATAGACAGCAGACCTCCTCTAATGATTTCTATTGCTTGCAATTTGACTGGCATTGCCACTACAAAAAGTGGATCATGAAAGCAGAGTATTCTGATAACCCAGAGTCTCAGGAAAGAACAGGTAACATGGTTAAATATGTATACTCTCATTCCTAATATTTCTCTGACCTTTTTCAAGTGTCACATTTATATTTCACATTAGGAGAAGCTAAGCTGTTATCACATAAAATATGTTAACATTCAGGACAGAATAAATAACATCAGCAATAGGGAACTTTGGAAAGGTTTAGGCAAACTAATTTTGGGCAAGTCTGCTCTCCTTTTCCGCACGTCTGAATGAATGAGAGCTGCGAACTTAAGACAGTTTTCACCTCTCCCAGCGAAGGTCAAAAAAGGAACTATCCCAATTTGTCACCTATACAGAACCTTGGAAGATATAAGCGAAAAGAATAGTGGTGTACATTTTAATAATGTGACTATCATTCTCTAATTCAAAATACAACACAGTTCCAAATCTGTGCTGCTATTCATCAACCACTACATTACCCTATCAAGAAAGAAGCACACAAGAACTGAACTCTGAATGCAAAAAAGATTGCTGAAATCTGAGTACAGGAGGAAATCAGGACTTACGGAGAGGAGTATTTGGATAGCGCTGTGAATGACCTCTAGGTACTGGAAATCAATTATGCAGCCTGTCACAGAGACATAGGAGTAATCATCTAGGATGCCAGGAGAAGAAGGACGCACCACCCTTCGTATGCAGCCAGGCCCATGCTCTCGCCACCAAGAACGGTGCATTGAAATGTTAAAGGTCATGAGATCAGTTTCCTAGGAGACAGGGAAGAAAAAAGCATGAAATCCTCTAATTCAGTATTATTTATGATGAAGAAATTGAAATTAAAGATGGTTTTAACTATTTAAAGGAAAACAACGTAACTTACCTTCTCCCTTCACCCACATAATTTTAACATGAAAGTAGATCAATTAAGAGGGAGACAGAAAATTGCAAATGTTTATCATTTATTTGGTAACTGTGCATTGGAACTCCTGTCCAGTAGAAGAACCATCATATCAAGTACAAAACACAGTGCATATCCTATGTCTCCATGGACTTCACTGCTAAAAAGCAATTTTATTATCATTTAATTAAAATGTGTATCAAGAATTAATTCTTTGAACAGGAAGCAGAGAAAGTCTTACTCCATGGTTCTAGAGGTGATCTAAAATAAACTTCCCACATATTTACTTAAATTAATAACTACAGAAAAATCAGGTATTATTTTAAATTGGGCCATGAGATTGTTCCAACTACCAAAGATTCAAATAATAAGCTCTTTGCAGTCAAGGTGTCTGAGACTGGTAAGGAGCATCTCAAACCAACATGAAGTAATCAACATTGCTCTGTGGACAATTTTACATTTGAAAGCATCTCTTTGGAGTTTGCCTTCAAAAGATAGGGCTCAGGAGTGTTTACTGGCTGAAGACTTGGCCTGGGAGCAAATGAAACCATCTTGATAGAGGAGACTGGGAGATGATACTACTGTATCCTGTGAAGGCAAGATAGAGGCTGGCAGCTCCCTACTTGAAGTTAAGTAGAACCATTTTAATGCCAAAACCAACTTCCACACTGGCAATTAACCTGAAATAAGTCATATTAATACTTTAGATGATCCAGATTTAGGTTTTCCCCATATCAATACATTTCAAGGTAGTTGTAATAATGTGTACAACATTGCTCACTATAGGCTGACAGATTTCCTTATTCTCATACGTGCCAATTTGTGACCACTGCATGTACACCAATGCTGATTCACTTGTACCTCACTCTGAAAATCTGTCCTGTAAGTTTTTCTGTGACAGTTTCACATCGACAAAATGTATATTTGGTGTAAATTCTTAGTTCTACCTCTGTTAATTGCCTTTATTCTGACCGCATTTGAAAAGTAACCAGTGAATTACATCTTGCCAATCTCTGTAGCTGATAGCTAGTAGTAACAAGTCAGCAGATGTTTTTACTCTCCATAACTTCTTTACCCTTAAAATGAAGATTTGTAGGATCAATCATTCACAGTTGATGAAGCATTTGTCTTTTGACATTGTGTGCTGTTCCTTGATACCAGTTTAGAACATTTTCAGCTGCACTATGAAAACGATTCACAAAATCTGAAGTTGACAGATAATTCAGTGTAATGAAAATGTAATTACAAATACAGTCATAGGAAATAGCAGAGGCTTTCTCTGTACAACAATACCAGAGATTGCACAGTGTTAACAAGTGCTTTTAGCAATTATCAAGTGTAGAAAATGCCATTTATCAAGCAGAATGCACATACTCATCTATTTTGGTAACTCTTTGTTGAGTGCAGAAGTGGATTGTCAGTGTGGGTTAGTCTGTATCAAACGCTGCAAGTTAACATTTCTTTATTGTAACTGTGGGAATAAATTGTGAAATCTATGTGTCAAGTGCCCTCATAGCTTTCTTTGCCCTCAAGGTTTGGTGTTTTTTTGTGTGTTTTTTTTTTTTCCCCCCTCTATTGTTTCTTTATGTTTTGTTTTGGTCTTTATGCTTTATTAGCTATGGTCTGTGCTCATGCCTGTGCTTAGTTCGCAGTCAATGGTGAAGAAAAACAGGAGGTTTGAAAAGGGAAACAGCTCTGCTACCTTGCCAACACCATTAAAACACAGTACTTTGGCATATAGTTGTCTTTGGCAATTTCAGGTAAAATCTTTTGCTTCTGAAATACTGCTACGTTTGGTTCCTGAGAAGTTTTTTTTTTTTTTTTTTTTTAATGGCTTAAATTTATGATCATATTTAGAAATATCTCCCTGAATTTGCTGACCATTACATGAGCTTATTTATTAAGAAAACAGTGAACGAGGCGCATCTGCAGACTCTTTTATATTTCAAAGCTGCTGGTGCTTCACTGAGGGAAAGAAACAGCACTACTAAAACAAAAGTTATTTTATCTGATTAAAAAGAGATGTCATCACAGCACTTGCAGCTGCTGTTATTATCATTATTCAGAAATATGGAAAAAGGCCTTAAGAAGAGTACTTCATAACTACTTTTCACTGTGTGCATTATGTCCTGAGTCTCCAAACCAAGTAAAAGGATAATGAAGGCCCAGCAAAGACCAGTTCCAGAAATGCAAACAAAACCACTCAGTGCATGAGCTTGACCTCTAACGTATCACTTCACAAAATGGCAGCCGTAAGCTTTTTGAGCTGATAAATGTTAAGCTGCCAATCAATAAATGAAAGCCTAAAAAAAAGAAAATAAAAATCACTCTCCTATCTCATTTTTTTTGAGATTTTTAATCTGTAAAGTGAGTTGAGTATGCCAGGCTTTGAAAAAGTATATCTTTATTCTCCTCCATAGAAACATAAAATTGAAAGACTCTACGCTTGATTGTAAAGGTTTTAAATACCAGCATATTTCTAAGAGTCTTTTAGTATCTGTGAATTCAGTATTTGGAAGCTCTGGATGGTGAAAAAGCTGCCGCTCAAGTGGATTATTCTCAATTATATGTTTAATAGAAGTTAAGAATTCTTAAGAAAGTACAAGCAAATTCTTGAATTTTTTTTCAGTGGATAACGTGCTGCTTTCCAATGTTAGAAGCAATTGTGAAGCAAACATTTATAACATGCTAACATAACATCACGCTGAAGTTTACACTGTTTATTATTAAAAGTAACAATGAGGATATTTATTTTGTGTTCACCTTATGTACAGTGCTTACAAGAAACTAAAAATGAGAATTTAAGGTTATTTAATAAGAATCACCAGACAAAGTAAGAAAATGCGCTAAAAGTCCATTCCATTTTCTAAGACAAAAAAGTAATGCTGACTTGCCACTCTGTTCCTGCTTTTATGAATGTGGAGAAAAGATTTACATCAAAACCTGATCAATAGCTAATAAAAGGTAATGCACAGTGCTAGGAGAAAACCAGTACATTTTCTTGTAAATCTCTGCTCCCAGTTAAGTTTGTAGTTAAGATGCAGTGATGTTGGCAAGGACAATGGAACCACACATTCCATAGTAATTAATTTCAAGGAGACATTAATCTCCATGAGATGCAAACAATGTCTTCCAGTGTTCACAAGACCTGCTGAAATTGTAGAAGAACTCTGGCTAATAGCTGATGCTCATTCTCTAAAGATGCCACACTGGCAGCATAACATTAATTTTTTAACTACTTTTTTTTTCCCTGAAACCACTGTTTCTGGTCATGGCCTGCTCTATGTGTGATCAGTTATGCTCCATCTTCCCTTGCTGTACTGAATGGATTGGTTTTGAAGACCTGGACAGATAAGCCTGAAGAAGTCCCTTGATAAATAGGGAAATTTCTATTACTAGCTCCCACATTTTCTTGTTTGAGATTTTGAATATTGACTCAAAAAAAATTGTTTTCAATTTAAACTCTTGCTTCAGTGTTACACAGATGTTTTTTTACTTGCCCAATGAATTAGTGGTAAAAGCTAGCTCCACTCAGTAATTTTGACACTGATGATGTGGTAAAGTGATGAACCATGCTGCTTCAGGGCAGTCTCTCTAGTTTGTTACTAGTGAAAACATAACACAGCCAGTATATCGCTCTCATCCTGAAGAGAAAAGATACAAGAAGAATATCCTTCAATTCAAGTGCATAGACCCTACTGGGACTACTCAGCTCTCTAAATGAACTGGTATCGTGGACCAAGTGTGCTTATCACCCAATACAATTCAAATTAGAGGTACGGTGTGATGCACATAAGCCCATTACTCCTAAAAGTTTCCAGTGTCAAGATCTTCAGATAAAACAGATAAGGAAGTCCCAGCATCATGGCCAAAGAATAGGTAAGAGACATTAAGAAGCACAGTCACCCTTTGTGGAGAGTAATCATCATTATTAAGTTTCATCATTCCTCTAACTGAGATTAGAGGTCCCCAAAAAAAAAAAAAAAAAAAGTTCAAGTTAGACAGTACAGTCATTACTATCCTTTATTCTTTTGAGCTTAGTCAGATTTCATTTTAGTGATCTACTCAAATGATAAAAAATAAAAATGATTGCTCTGCATTACTCAATTTACCACACACACAGAAAGTTTTTTTCTGCCTTCCAACAATATTAAAATCAAATTTGCAGAACTTACTTTCAAAGTAGAGTATCTAAGATAAGATGACGACAAAAGAAGCAAACTGCTGCCTTCTTTATGCAACATTAGATTTGGCCATTGTCCCGCTCTAAAGATATTCTGGCAATATTCAGAGTCATGATAAAATCCCAGTTTTACGGCTCATCTCTTTTCCTAGGTCTGCCTCACTTTCGTGGCAGTCTCTGTGTTTGAGAATCAATCCAGAGAGGTAATACAGTATCACTGAAATACACTCTAAGATCAAATGAATAAAAAACATGAGAGAAGGTGATTGGATCCATATGCACCTTACTCATCACTCATCATAGGCAGTTCAGTATGAGCATAAAGAAGCCATGGATGACTGCTTTTCACCCATGGGGTCCTTGACATCTGATTAAGCCATCCACTTAGTCTGAAAAGTACTCTCACCTATTCCCTCTAATGATCCAGACACAGGTAAGAGACAAACAAGGTTTGGAGTGATGGCAAACTATGACCACCTTTTTCATATTTGAAGACTGAGACTAGGATAAGGGTTTCTGTAAATTCAAAGCAGATTGTTGTGCTCTTCTGTCAAGCCAAACGTATTTCTGACTGAAGCAAAGAATGAAGACTGAAATGTAAATGTAATAGTGTAATTGAAACTGTAATCAAAGGCAGCATTGGTGTGACATATATATATATATTCATCAGCACATATACTGTGGGA